ATTTTGGCTCCCTTCAGCAGGTGTGAAAAAGGCACCATTTTTGAATCGTTAGGAGAGGGAGGTTCCAACAAGGTGGACAGCCAAATGTCATCCTCTCTGTTGATGGTTATCTATTCGGCTGTCGCTACGCAAGCAACTGAGCATGCTATGGGCATTTGTGCCAAGGAATGAGCGAGGGACTCCCTGCCTCCATCTCCACAGCATTACTGCCACGGTGCGTCTGGGTCTCTGTCTCCTCCTCCTCTACCAGATGCTCCTGCTCCTCCACTCCTGTCCGCTGAGTGGAAAAAACCACCCTATTTCACTCAATAATTCCTGAGCACAAATGTCCTCCTCTACTCCTCCTCTTCTTCCTGGTCCTGCCCCCACAGGGGTCATGTGGCGTTGAGATCTGTGCGCCACGTCTACCGACACAAAACCCTGACCAGCCATTGTTAACAGCATTTGTTCCAGGAGTGAAACAGAGGAATGACGTCGTTCATCCCATAGTCCTGCCGATCACGCCGAATAGCGTGGCTCTCCTCAAAGGGCCTGAGCAAGCGGCAGGTGTCACGCATGAGCTGCCAATGGTGAACATCGAAGTTACACAGGGGAGTACCTTTATTCCGCTTGTAACATCAGGAAATCGGTGATGGCCTTTCGCTGTTCGTAAAGGCGGTCTAACATGTGTAGGGTTGAATTCCACCTTGTTGCAACGTCGCAGATCAGGCGATGCTGTGGAATTCCGATTCTGCCGCTGCAGCTCAAGGAGGGTGTGTGCTTTGCAGGTGTAGGAATGGCTGAAATGCATGCAAAGTTTACGTGACATTTCTAAGGATGTCTTGCAGGTGATGTGATGGTGGATTTTAGGAACCGCTTGACAACCAGATTTGAACACGTGAGCCATGCATGGGCGCATGGCACATCCTTCCTTGACGCAGAGCAGACACCATGTTTCTTTCCGTTGTCGGTCAACATGGTTCCGATTTTCAGTTTGCGCGGAGACAGCCATCTGTCGATTATCTCTGTTTCAATTACATGAGAAGTTCCTCCCCTGTGTGACTACGTTCGCCTGGACCTGGCAGCAGCATGAGGAGGCGGTATAGGGGCCCATGGCAGATTAGGGGCCTGGCAGCAGCTATGGGAGGCCCGTAATCTGCCAGCACCCTATGTCAAAAAATTCAACACAACAGCAGTGTGTGAGGAGACCTGAAAGTGGCACATGGCAGAGTGTGGCGATGGAGACAGCAGCAATGGGAGGCCGTACAGGGACCCATGACAGACTCTGGACTTGGCAGCAGCATGAGGAGGCGGTATAGGGGCCCATGGCAGATTAGGGGCCTGGCAGCAGCTATGGGAGGCCCGTAATCTGCCAGCACCCTATGTCAAAAAATTCAACACACCAGCAGTGTGAGGAGACCTGAAAGTGGCACATGGCATGGCGATGGAGAGCAGCAATGGGTGGTACAGGGACCCATGAGAGACTCTGGCAGCAGCATGAGGAGGCGGTACAGGGGCCCATGGCAGATTAGGGGCCTGGCAGCAGCTATGGGAGGCCCGTAATCTGCCAGCACCCTATGTCAAAAAATTCAACACACAGCAGTGTGAAGGAGACCTGAAAGTGGCACATGGCAGAGTGTGGCGATGGAGACAGCAGCAATGGGAGGCCGTACAGGGACCCATGACAGACTCTGGACTTGGCAGCAGCATGAGGAGGCGGGTATATAGGGGCCCATGGCAGATTAGGGGCCTGGCAGCAGCTATGGGAGGCCCGTAATCTGCCAGCACCCTATGTCAAAAAATTCAAAACACACCAGCAGTGTGTGAGGAGACCTGAAAGTGGCACATGGCAGAGTGTGGCGATGGAGAGGCCGTACAACCCACCGACTGTTTTGGGCGCTGCAGATTAGGGGCTGGCAGCCCTCTTCTCCGTGATGATGCCAGCACCCTATGATGAAAAAAGGAACACACCAGTGCGTCAGCCTCAGACCATCAATTAGGGTCTCCGCCTCACTACTAGCCCCCTCGGCTGCGTGTGGGTCAGGAGACAGACCTGTCTCTAGACCGGCTACCGAGCCACTCTCCTCGCCACTACTTCTTCGCCTGGCTGCTGAAGAGGCGGATGTCTCCCCCGTTCCTGGGCCTCTGTTAGCTCTTCCTCACTGTACTGGATGACACCGGGAGCACTAGCCTCTGGCCCCTTCCTCTGCTGCCACTGTCTGCTTGCTCCTAAAACATTGCCTCCTCTGCCACTCCTCTGCATGTTGTCTGACATACTCTTTAATTAAACGATTCTGTGTCCTGAGTAACAATTCTGTTTCCCTGAGTAACGTTTCTGTGGCCCTAAGTAACAGTTCTGTGGCCCTCAGTAACAATTCTGTGGCCCTCAGTAACAATTCTGTGTCCCTCAGTAACAATTCTGTGTCCCTCAGTAACAATTCTGTGTCTGTCCCTGAGTAACAATTCTGTGTCTGTCCCTGAGTAACAATTCTGTGTCCCTGAGTAACGTTTCTGTGGCCCTAAGTAACATTTCTGTGGCCCTCAGTAACAATTCTGTCTGCCCCTGAGTAAACAATTCTGTGTCTGTCCCTGAGTAACAATTCTGTGTCCCTCAGTAACAATTCTGTGTCCCTCAGTAAAAATTCTGTGTCCCTCAGTAACAATTCTGTGTCCCTCAGTAACAATTCTGTGTCCCTCAGTAACAATTCTGTGTCCCTGAGTAACAATTCTGTGTCTGTCCCTGAGTAAGAATTCTGTGTCTGTCCCTGAGTAACGTTTCTGTGGCCCTAAGTAACGGTTCTGTGGCCCTCAGTAACAATTCTGTGTCCCTGAGTAACAATTCTGTGTCTGTCCCTGAGTAACAATTCTGTGGCCCCTAAGTAACGGTTCTGTGGCCCTCAGTAACAATTCTGTGTCCCTGAGTAACGTTTCTGTGGCCCTAAGTAACGGTTCTGTGGCCCTCAGTAACAATTCTGTGTCCCTGAGTAACAATTCTGTGTCTGTCCCTGAGTAACGTTTCTGTGGCCCTAAGTAACGGTTCTGTGGCCCTCAGTAACAATTCTGTGTCCCTCAGTAACAATTCTGTGTCTGTGTCCCTGAGTAACAATTCTGTGGCCCTAAGTAACAATTCTGTGGCCCTCAGTAACAATTCTGTGTCCCTGAGTAACGTTTCTGTGGCCCTAAGTAACAATTCTGTGGCCCTCAGTAACAATTCTGTGTCTGTCCCTGAGTAACAATTCTGTGGCCCTAAGTAACGGTTCTGTGGCCCTCAGTAACAATTCTGTGTCCCTGAGTAACGTTTCTGTGGCCCTAAGTAACAATTCTGTGGCCCTCAGTAACAATTCTGTGTCTGTCCCTGAGTAACAATTCTGTGGCCCTAAGTAACGGTTCTGTGGCCCTCAGTAACAATTCTGTGTCCCTGAGAGTAACGTTTCTGTGGCCCTAAGTAACAGTTCTGTGGCCCTAAGTAACAGTTCTGTGGCCCTCAGTAACAATTCTGTGTCCCTCAGTAACAATTCTGTGTCCCTCAGTAACAATTCTGTGGTCCCTGAGTAACAATTCTGTGTCCCTGAGTAACAATTCTGTGTCCCTGAGTAACAACGTTTCTGTGGCCCTAAGTAACATTTCTGTGGCCCTCAGTAACAATTCTGTCTGTCCCTGAGTAACAATTCTGTGTCTGTCCCTGAGTAACAATTCTGTGTCCCTCAGTAACAATTCTGTGTCCCTCAGTAACAATTCTGTGTCCCTCAGTAACAATTCTGTGTCCCTCAGTAACAATTCTGTGTCCCTCAGTAACAATTCTGTGTCCCTCAGTAACAATTCTGTGTCCCTGAGTAACAATTCTGTGTGTCTGTCCCTGAGTAACAATTCTGTGTCTGTCCCTGAGTAACGTTTCTGTGGCCCTAAGTAACGGTTCTGTGGCCCTCAGTAACAATTCTGTGTCCCTGAGTAACAATTCTGTGTCTGTCCCTGAGTAACAATTCTGTGGCCCTAAGTAACGGTTCTGTGGCCCTCAGTAACAATTCTGTGTCCCTGAGTAACAATTCTGTGGCCCTAAGTAACGGTTCTGTGGCCCTAAGTAACAATTCTGTGTCCCTGAGTAACAATTCTGTGTCCCTGAGTAACAATTTCTGTGGCCCTAAGTAACAATTCTGTGGCCCTCAGTAACAATTCTGTGTGTCCCTGAGTAACAATTCTGTGGCCCTAAGTAACGGTTCTGTGGCCCTCAGTAACAATTCTGTGTCCCTGAGTAACAATTCTGTGGTCCCCTAAGAGTAGTAACGGTTCTTCTGTGGCCCTGAGTAACAATTCTGTGGCCCTCAGTAACAATTCTGTGTTCTGTGGCCCTGAGTAACAATTCTGTGTCCCCTAAGTAACTGTGTCCCTCAGTAACAATTCTGTGGCCCTCAGTAACAATTCTGTGTCCCTGAGAGTAACGTTTCTGTGGCCCTAAGTAACAATTCTGTGGCCCTCAGTAACAATTCTGTCTGTCCCTGAGTAACAATTCTGTGGCCCTAAGTAAAGTAACAATTCTGTGGTCCCTGAGTAACAATTCTGTGGCCCTGAGTAAAGTTCGTTCTGTGGCCCTCAGTAACAATTCTGTCAGTAACAATTCTGTGGTCCCTCAGTAACAATTCTGTGTCTGTCCCTGAGTAACAATTCTGTGGCCCTAAGTAACGGTTCTGTGGCCCTCAGTAACAATTCTGTGTGTCCCTGAGTAACATTCTGTGGCCCTATTCTGTGTTCTGTCCCTCAGTAAGTAACAATTCTGTGGCCCTAAGTAACGGTTCTGTGGCCCTCAAGTGAGTAACAATTCTGTGTCCCCTGAGTAAACTGTTTCTGTGGCCCTCAGTAACAATTCTGTGTCCCTCAGTAACAATTCTGTGTCTGTCCCTGAGTAACAATTCTGTGGCCCTAACTAACATTTCTGTGGCCCTAAGTAACAGTTCTGTGGCCCTCAGTAACAATTCTGTGTCCCTGAGTAACGTTTCTGTGGCCCTAAGTAACAATTCTGTGGCCCTCAGTAACAATTCTGTGTCTGTCCCTGAGTAACAATTCTGTGGCCCTAAGTAACGGTTCTGTGGCCCTCAGTAACGGTTCTGTGGCCCTCAGTAACAATTCTGTGTCTGTCCCTGAGTAACAATTCTGTGGCCCTAAGTAACGGTTCTGTGGCCCTCAGTAACAATTCTGTGTCCCTGAGTAACAATTCTGTGGCCCTAAGTAACAGTTCTGTGGCCCTCAGTAACAATTCTGTGTCCCTCAGTAACAATTCTGTGTCTGTCCCTGAGTAACAATTCTGTGGCCCTAACTAACGTTTCTGTGGCCCTAAGTAACAGTTCTGTGGCCCTCAGTAACAATTCTGTGGCCCTGAGTAACGTTTCTGTGGCCCTAAGTAACAATTCTGTGGCCCTCAGTAACAATTCTGTGTCTGTCCCTGAGTAACAATTCTGTGGCCCTAACTAACGTTTCTGTGGCCCTAAGTAACAGTTCTGTGGCCCTCAGTAACAATTCTGTGGCCCTGAGTAACGTTTCTGTGGCCCTAAGTAACAATTCTGTGGCCCTCAGTAACAATTCTGTCTGTCCCTGAGTAACAATTCTGTGGCCCTAACTAGCGTTTCTGTGGCCCTAAGTAACGATTCTGTGGCCCTCACTAACAATTCTGTGTCCCTGAGTAATGTTTCTCTGTCCCTAAGTAACGTTTCTCTGTCCCTAAGTAACGTTTCTCTGTCCCCAAGTAACGTTTCTGTGGCCCTAACTCTGTCCCTAATACAGAGCGGTCTGCCTCTCTTGAATGACTGGAGGCAAATGAAGAATTCTAAAATGGCCGCCATTTATAGCTCGACCATTACACAGTGCTGGCTGGCTGGCTGCTGATTGGCTAATGCGATCACATGTCATTAAGGAATGCATTATGGGTCAGCGCGCCTTGTCTGCGCACCTTCCCAGACATCCCCGCTCCGTCGCCGCACATGTCCGCCGCCATTTTAGGAAAAATTTTGCTATTTTTTTTCCAATATTCGAAACGAATTCCACTTCGCCTACTTCTTGAGCTGTGCAGGAGACAATCGAAAGGATAAATAGATGTATGTAAATCATAGAAGTGGGTAACATCCACTTCAAAATTCAACCCTTGAGGGATACGAGTTTGTAAACAAAAAATTCAAAAGAATTCTCTCCTACACAGCAAATGAAACACATCTCCCCTACAAATTGGAGATTTAACTTTATCAATAACCTGCACATTCACCAATGATAAATCACCTGCATGCATAGATATGAAGTGTGTAGCCATGCTGTATTCACATTCAAGAACATCTTGGTGCTATTAGAATTAATTGTTCCACCAATGTGGCTACACAACCTTACTAACTACCGCAACAACATAGTGTAGCTGGGCGTTCAGCAAGACCAGGAGGTGCAGCTGTGACTCCTCCTGCTTGTCAGGATCCGAGCCTGAACTCTGAGCTCAGAGGACTGAGCCTGTGGGGACACCAATGAATGCAGATTTAAAGGGATGGTTTCCAAGTACACCAATGTACAGATTGGGCCCCGCCATCAGCCAGCTGAAGTTTGCAAACCAGGCGCTATATACTGTACATCCCTTATCAGGAGATATACTTACCCCTACATTCAGGGGGACATACACAGAGCGCACTCTGGGACACATTTTAATCAATTGTTTCAAAGGTTTACTGCAAGACTTTTCTTTACTGTTTATGCTGTTAATTGCTTATATGGTTTACTACTTATGCTCCTGTTTAACAGTGCTCCAGATACTAAGTTAGTTTGCTTATTATCACTTTGATCTAGATTAATTGCCATATAATAGCCTAGTATTTTTATCTTTTTATAGCATTCAAAAGGACTCTTTTACTTGTTCATTTCCTATATTATAATACAGTTGTGGGTATCATTTTAATAACTGAGTTCATAAGTTTTTGCATCTCACTACCTAACCAGATGTGTCAGTGGGCTAAAGCAGTTCTAAGAGTCATGGCAAAGAACAGAGAACCTGTTATACAAACCGGCTCCACCGGGCATAATTTCCACTTACCACATTGTCAACACTACCACAAACATTTTCTCACAGCTACTCTATCAAATGTTTGATTACTCACTGTAAATGAAGAACTTGGGGAAGTTGCAGTGAACTCACTGAACTCAAATGCAAAAATGCACAGCTCAACCAGATCAGCCTTAAGTATGAAAGTATTGCCCCCACTAGCTCCAATCGCAGCATCTACCCATCTTTTCAGTATTAAAGTTAAAAACCTACACCATGTGTCAGCTATGCTTAAAGTAAAGAGGCTCTGGCACCTCACATGGGGGTGTGCATTATGGACGTTCTGTGTGTCTGAGTTGACACTGTTTCTCTATTGTTGGCAGAGTATGGTCAACCCAGGGGAGATTGCTGTCTTACAACTACACCTTTGTGGCCCTAGGGGTTTTTGGTTACATGTCTAGAGTGTGTGACTGGGGACAAAGAGAAGGCAAATATATTAAATATCTTCTTCAGCTCTGTGCATACAAAGGAGCAGGGGGGAGCTCTTGTCCATAATGGGCATATGATTGACACAGCTCCAGATGATCCACATTGGCTCACAACTGATATGATCCAGAAATATTTAAACAGAATAAAGGTGAATAAAGCACCTGAACCAGATGGCATTGTATACAAACGGCCAGACGGTGGCAGTGCAGGGGCGGGTGGCCGTTTAAAAATGGTCTCCCCGCCCCCTGCTTGTGCACACTCCCTGGGAGCATGCAGCACCACGATCAGGTGCCTGCTGTCACTTCTGACATCATTGCTTACTACGTATGAAATCTGTGAATGATCACAGAGGTCACATAGTACAAGACTATTCACAACAGCCTTGTACCATGTGACAAGCTTTGTTCAATCACAGCTCACACAATATTTCTCAATGGCTGCAAGAATGCAGCCAGAGAGAAGGAGAAATGATTGCTTTTACTGGGAATCTATTCTTGCTGGGGGTCAATTGTTGCTGGAAGGGATCTACTGTTGAGGGAGGTGTCTATTTGTTCAGGCTGCTGGAGAGTCTATTGATGCTGGCTGCTGGGGGATCTGTTGTAGCTGCTGGGAGTCTATTGTTGCTAGGGTGGTATTTTTTTTGGGGCTCCATTGTTGCTGGAGGAATCTATTGTTGCTGGGGAGGGAATCTAATGCTTCTGGCTTTGGGGATCTATTTTTCTGCTTTTCTTGTTATCATTAACACATTCCATACAAATTACTTAATACCACAAAATGATACTTGACTCTGTATTCTCTAAAAGAAGTGGTACTGGGAGGTGGGTAGGGGGTGGAACAAAGTGAAAGTGCTCGAAGGTGGGTAGGGTGCGGAGACAAGAAGTGACTAAGGGGTAGTTCCTGCACTTATTTTTGTAGAAAAAAACCCTGCTTATTGTAGCAATCATGCACACAGAGATGGATGCGGTCATCCATTTTGCTCCAAACCCCTCCAAATTGTATCTCTCTCTCTCTCTCTCTCTCTCTCTCTCTCTCTCTCCCAAATCAGATTCTCCTCCAATATCCCCCCTCCCTCTCTGTTGAGTGACATGTGGTCTGGATAATGAGATCACAGGCAGCAAACTCATTGGGAGGGCGTCATGGCTATAAACCTTAATTAGCTGGTGCCCATATGTCTGCGAGACTCCTGCTTGGAGAAGGATTGTAAAACCATAAACCAAGTCCTTCACTGAGCTCAAAGACATTCCAGGTAGTCGTAAACCGGACTCACTTTTAAAAACCCAGTTTCCCCAATGGTTACATATCTTAGACTATGACAGACGTACATAAAAACCGGGCATATATTCGGATGGCTCACTTTAATACAAATTGTTTGGTATATTACATCCCCTAGCTGAGATCAACAGGAGAGCAGAAAATAATATCTTCTTAACCATCCCAGCAGGTATCTCATATTTCATATCTAGGCGTTCAGCAGAAGATTCTGCATATTAATCTACTTGTGGATAGAATGTTATATGTATCCAGGGTAAAGAAGGCGATTGGTTCTCTGCTTCAGGGAGACACCCTGCTGAGTTCCTAAATAAAGGCTGTGATGCTTGAAGGTAAGCTAAGCTTAGTTGAGCTAAGTTGAAGAATCTCCCTTTTAACATCGGAACTAACTTTGGGAGATAAGACCCTTTTGGCTCTGAAACCTGATCTGCCTAACCCAAGGCTGACGGCAAGTACTTTATCCCTCTAAACTTATTTCTGTTATCTCTTTGCTGTGCTATTGTTTTCTGTATATATATATATATATATATATATATATATAGGCTACATCTTTTTCTGTAAATATTTTTATTGCACTCTTTTGACCTTTTAGTAATAAATCTTACTTTCTGAAAATGTTGAACTGTTTCCAAAGCTCTTTAATGCAAACTAAGCACCCCTGCCTCTGAAGAGCGCTACTGTGTGTGTGTTTTAAACTTCGGTATATCGCTGCCTGCAGTGACAGTGGTGTACCGACGCTTATGCAAACATCATAGTGTTATTGCTGATATTGCCGAGTTTCCTCTTTTTCTGTACAAAAAGGAGGTGGTGGCAGTGTGAAGGGTTAATTGCATAATTAACCTGACCCAGTAACAATCGCTCCCAGGCTGCCAGCACACAGGTTGTGGTCCATTAGCTGGAAAATCTTTGTGCAGGGTACAGCTGGGCGTGGCATTGTTACGCACGTGACAGTGCGGTTTTAGATTGGCTAGTCCTTCGGTCACGAGTTTGGTGAGAAGGGCTGGGGTGTGACGCCACGATCGTCACACTTATAAGTATGAAGGTGTTAAGCATTCCAACCCAGACTTTGAGTACACAGGGCTGCAGAAGGAAGCGGTAAAGAAGCTCCATCCCTAAGCCACATGCTATGATTGGTACAGATTGCCACAATTTCCACTTCTAACATGGTTAGAAAATGTATGAATTATCATGTATTCAAAATTCAATGGCTCTTGAAAATAAGGGGATACTAAAATACGAATAATACATACAATAAACAAAAGTATTTAAATAGTAACAACCCTGCCAAAAAAATAAGCACATCCATTTTTTAAATAAAAAGTAGTTACTGTGCATTCCAACAGTGGTAGACCCAATGCGCTTAGTAATCTGTATTCAGTAACAGACCTGGTCAAATAGTTTCAGGTTTTCCTACTCTTCCATGATAGTGAGCCAGAAATGAGTAAGCAATGTAATAGCACAATTATACTCACCATAGGATGATCCTTGTATATGTTTGGATAAAACAGACCTTATTGTTGGCATTGGTATCAAAGCAAACATCATCACAGCTCGAGCTACAAAATAATTAAACACAACATTATTGTCAATATTGGCTGCAAACATTTCTGGACTACAAAATTGCTGTTTATGGCTCCTTTAAATTGGTGCCCAGGATCCAATGTATTGCAAAGTCTCTTTAAAGTGGTAATAAACCCTCATTTTGTTTATTAAAATAAAAAAGATGTTTTATTTACTCATTCTGTGCAATGGTATTGCACAGAGCAGTCCCTTACCTCCTCTTTTCTGGAGTACCCCCCCACCTCCTCTTCTTGCAGGTGCCCCCATAACAAGCTATGTGCTATGGGGGCACCGATATGGCCGAACTGGGCTGTGTGCGTCCATAGACAAAGGCAGCTTGGCTTGGCCACTCTCCTCCAACTCTCCTCTCCAAGCATTTGACATGGCAGCAGCAGGAGCCAATGGCTTCCACTGCTGCCTGACTCTCATGTGAGACCAGGAAGTGATGGGAGAAGACCTGTTGCTGGGGACAACAGTGGATCAGTAACAGGACGGTAAGTGTTTTGGGCAGGACTCTGCATTCACTATATCTGATCTCCCAGAGTACACACAACATGAAAATGCAATTATTTTAGCAAATATAAACTGCTAAATACATTTTCTCATCAGCAGTCTTTTGTCTTCTGTCAGTGTTCAGCTGAGCACTAGTTAATGCTTGGAGGAAGAGTTTTCTTTCTGCTCTAGGAGGATGTGAAACCGTTGACCCTCTGTCTGGACAGTGCTTATTGGTCCTGTGCTGGTCACATGCACTCTCCGAAGACAAAAAAAACAACCCCTCCCTAGCAATACACACCAAACTGAGCATGTGCATGTGACTACGGATTCAGTCAGTTTCAGGTGGTCATTTCAACAACAGGAGGGGCAGAGGAGGAAGGATCAAACAGCCTTTTTATACAAAGGAGGATTAACCCTTTAGGTTCCACAGTGAGTATAACAAGCATGCTTTACTGCATATACAGACTGATTTTACTGTTGTGGGTTTAGTAACACTTTAATGCAGGGAATGCATTAAAGAAGAACTGCATGATTTTTTTTCTCCCATGCAGTGGGGCTGTGCCTGCTATACTTACCCCATCTTTCAATCCTCCAAAAAGCACACTTCCCCACATCCAGTGGTGAAACTATTCCTGACACATATGCACATATGACACATATGCAAGCTAATATGTCAGACTGAGATATCACTTGTATGTCTTTGTAAGTTTGTAAATGCTAGTGCAGTAAAATTAAACAACAATAATGTACATCTATGCTTTCATTTTTGAAAAGTAAATATATCAATGTTGTGTTTCCATAAAGTATTGGTGACATTACAAAAGTGATCTGAAATGGAAGTTAAAGTGTTACTAAACCCACAACAGTAAAATCAGTCTGTATGTGCAGTAAAGCATGCTTGTTATGTCATGCTGTCATAAGTGGCACTTCCACTTTTCCCTTCCTCATATTTCACAGATCATGAAACAGACATGACTAATCTACACTGCATGGGCTAACTGCCCGTATTTGTTTAGGGGATTACAGAGTGGAGATATACTAACCTAATCCGTTGATCCTCCGAGTGCAAGAGTGGTCCCTGCCCCTCCTGACCCCCCTGAACGCTAGTGGTCTTGTGAATGGACTGTTCCTGGCGTCATGATAGACCGGCCCCGGATGTGAGGACAGCAGGAACAGTGCACCAATGGCTGTGGGGGAGTGTGTTTTTTGGAGGATCAAAGGATGGGGTAAGTATAGCCTTTTAATGTGCCCCTAGACAAAACAAGCAGTTGACTACAGTGCAGGCACAGCCCCACTGCATGCGAGAAAAAAAATTCATGCAGTTCTTCTTTGCATTTCCTGCATTAAAGTGTTACTAAACCCACAACGGAAAATCAGTCTGTATAGGCAGTAAAGCATGCTTGTTATACTCACTGTGGAACCTAAGTGGTTAATCCTCTGCATTATGTAAAAAGGCTGTTTGATCCTTTCTTCTCTGCTTCTCCTCTTGTTCAAATGACCACCTGATACAAACTGATTACATAGCCCCATGCACATGCTCAGTTTGGTGTGTATTTCTAGAGAGTTTTTTTTTTTTCTTCTTGGGATAGTGCATGTGACCAGCAAAGGACCAATCAGCACTGTCCAGACAGAAGTCAGGGGATTCCCATCCTCTTAGAGAAAACTCCTCCTACAAGCTTTAACCAGTGCTCTGCTGAATTCACAAGATTGCTCTAACTTCTGATGAGAAAAGATATTTAGCAGTTTATATTTATTAAAATAATTTCATTTCCATGTTGTGCGTACTGTGGGAGACCAGATATAGTGAATGCAGGGTCCTGAATTTAGTAACACTTTAAGATTTAGATTTAAATACAGGACAACAACCTAAAGACAGGACAAGAAATAATGAAGACATCTTCCTAATTATAGACATAAATGTGTTTTGTTTCAGTCTGTTCCCCAATGGAGAGATTTCTCATCACTTCTGGTCTTGACACAGACACGAAAGATACAGATCACAAAAGCACACTTTTTTCTCTGTAAAAAAATATAATCTGACAGTTTATCCAAGGATAAAAACATAATTGCTTAGAACTGGAGTACCATCAGTAGACACAAAAAAACTAGAAAGAACAAAATTGCCAGATCGCAGGATTAATTAAGAAGTATAAATAATTTATTGTAAAAACCTATCCACACTTATTTATAAGTGTGGATATGTTTTTATAATAAACAATTCATACTTTTAATTAATCCTGCGATCTGGCCATTGTGGTCTCTCTCCATGTGCTGATATGGATCTTTCTCTGGTCTGTGCACTTAGAAGCTGCAGATTTCCACTCATTCTATCTGCAGCATTCTGATCATCTATTTAACCCATATCTATTGCTATCCTCACCAATGGACCCTCTTTGGGACTGGCGCCCAGTATCGTGAGCCTTTCAGACTTAATTTATTTACAATAAATATTTGTTTCTGTGGATCTTCTTGGTCCCTTTAGCTGCTACTTCCCTGTAAATATGGATTTTTCAGCTATAACTCCTATTAGTTTATTTTTTGCCATCTGTTTCCCATTGCGGAGATTTCCCTTCACTTCCTGTCCCATAGCCACAACAAGAAGTGAGAAATAAACCCTGCAAATTAAGGGAATTTCTTGGGGACCCACTAGTGTCCCTATTGGAAGATTCCCCCTCTATTATTTTTCTGAGGACAACCCAAAATCTGGGGTTTTCTTTCACTTTTGATGATAATGATAAAAAATAGAGAGGGTGAATCTCCCTAATGGGGACACAGACAGCAATAAAAACCTAACAGGTGTTCTAATCTATCTCCACTGTGGCCAAAACTAAAGAAAAAAGTTTTGCCTTTAGGTATTTCAGGTACTTATATAGCGCAGTCAATTTACGCAGCGCTTTATACTTATATTGTACATTCACATCAGTCCCCAACCCTCAAGGAGCGTACAATCTAAGGTCCCTAACTTACATTCATACATACACATACTAAAGCCACAAGGCCCTCAAGGGGCATACAATCTAAGGTCCCTAACTTACATTCTACATACATATACTAGAGCCACAAGGCCCTCAAGGGGCGTACAATCTAAGGTCCCTAACTCACATTCATACATACACATACTAGGGTCAATTTAGACAGGACCCAATTAACCTACCAGCATGTCTTTGGAGTGTGGGAAGAAACTGGAGTACCTGGAGGAAACCCACGCAGGCACATGGAGAGCATGCAAACTCCAGGCAGGAGGTGCCATAGCTGGGATTCGAACCAACGATCCTAGTACTGCCAGGCGGACCTGGTGCTAACCATTTAGCTTTTATACTTTAATATAAATAATAAAAAAAATGTAAATAAAACCATGCAGCCGTGATCACATGCCTAATAAAAAAAAGTACCAGAATAAATTGTAACTGTTTAACTTACCAATAAAATACAAGAAAGTCCATCGTACAGATGCCATAATGAATATACCAGCGCAGAAGGACAATATTCCCATTATAATTAAAGTTACATCCTTGAGACATCTAGAAAAAATAAAAACTCCCAAGAAACTAGTGATGAATATCATAAAACCAGCAGCATTGGCATAACCAATATATGTAGGACTAAACTTTAGAGGTTCATTTATTAAAAATAAAGAGAGTACATCCATAGCTCCATCCACAGAGATATTGTACAATATGGCAGTAGCAAAAAGAAGAGCAATGAAAAGTTTGGATGGAGTCAGAGCAGTGAGGCCCACTGAAGGTCCATTAGTTTCACCCAGTAGTTTAGATCGCTCAGTTGGTTCAGGGAAGTTTCCACTACTGACGTCTTGTGCATCCGTTCCATTACCTAAATTCTCATGCACTGCTGTTTCATTATTAGGCACTTTTAAAATAAATATACTGTATAACAGGCATATAAAATAAAGGGAAACACTGCATATAACTAGGGTTGCACCTGGATCATGCGCTATTGTAACTGATACAAAGATGTATCCAGAAGAAAAGCTGCCCACACAACCAGATAATCCATACACCAATTCAATGACAATGAACTTCAGAGATCGTCTTTGTTTAGTCGAGTCCAGGGCTGCCCAGGCCATAACCCCAGCCCAGTAGGTTGTGAACCAGCCTGTTAAACCATTCAGAGCAGCAGAGCCGAACATCACTTCTATTGGCCAGCCTAAAAAGATGACAGCCAACAGAAAACACCGGGATAAAAAATACCCAAGCAATGGAACACATATTGTGACCTTTCTTCTCTGTCTGTCACCAATCTTTGCTAGGATATATGCTGATAACAATGGGGTAAGTCCCAAAATTAGGTTGTGAATAATATAGAAGTTTGATATGGCTTTCTGTAGTGTGATCGAATGAGATGTGTTGGAGGATGTAGTAGTCCGGTTATAATAATTCTTGACCACAAATAGTAATGCCGTATCATAAAAAGAGCTAGCAACTTGTGCCCCAGCAACCACTGGCTCAATCCATGTCCTCACCATTATCATGGCTGAACAATGTACTTACTACAGTTAAAAGTATCAGTCCTTCAAACAAAGAGGAAGTTAATGATTAAAACAAACTAAAACGATGCAAAACCTTTGAACGCGAAGAAAAAAAAAAACACACTAGTAATCCAGTCCAAAATATTAGATCTGCCTCCTGGCAATGTTTTCTTCTGACAACGAGCCGTCTTTGCTGAGAGCGATAAACAGAAATGCATTTGTAACTTATGTGCATATGTGCCAATATGGGAAAAGTGTGAGTCTCACGGCACTTACTTCCTGATATGAAATACATTGCATTTGTGGGTGGAACAAGTCTTTGTGTACTAGAGCTCAGATGAAGTTTAGACAGGAATGTGGACTGGTCACAAAACTGACATTTCAAGACATTGTTTGCAGAATAAAGAATACCTTTAGAGCTTTTCTGGAAACTAACAAATAGTGTGCATATTCATTGAATAAAAAAAGTGTAGAAAAAAGCACTAGTAGCAACATGCAGGTCAGTGGGATTGCTGAGTTGGGGATCAGGGAAACAAAGTTTCAAATGCAAATTAGTGCTATGCTATGATAGATGAATAGGAACAATCCTAGAGCTGCAGGTAAGAAACTGTTATTTCCAGGGGTACTGCTGAGTCAGGAATGGCAAGGAATAACACTACATTACTTACCTGGGGATAGTGACAGTGACATTTAAAGCGGAGTTGCCGTTTAATTATTTTTTTCTAAAAGCACCCTGTGAGAGTGGCAGCTTATGCAATGCAATGATATATAACCTGTACTTTTAATCCTTGTCGTTCCTTACATAAAAAAAGAAAATACTTACTGCGGCCACATGGTGCGACCGCTGTCATCTTTAGTGTGGGCACCTGAAGCCCACTGGGATACTCTTTGGGAAAATGTGCACCTGGGTATCCAGCATGCACTTCCCGATCTCGCGTCTGCGCAGTGTGAAGAAGGCACGGCGCTTTCCCTGTATTGATGGTTGCCATAGCAATGGCGGCGAGGCTGGAAGTTCCCACCCTGTTGCTGTGACAATCTTCAGTCAATTGCGTTACTTCCGGTCTCGTAATACCACAAGATTTCGATATTAGGCATTCCATTGGACTGCTGGGATAGAGATGCCGCCGATATCCCAGAAGCCCTAGGGAATGCCTGATGATGTAATCGCCTAGGCAGACAGGACTGGAAGTGGAGACAGAACTCTACAATTAAAGATATTTAGGGGAAAAAATATATATATACAGTATCTCACAGAAGTGAGTACACCCCTCACATTTTTGAAAATATTTTATTCTATCTTTTCATGTGACAACACTGAAGAAATGACACTTTGCTACAATGTAAAGTAGTGAGTGTACAGCTTGTATAACACTGTAAATTTGCTGTCCCCTCAAAATAACTCAACACAGCCATTAATGTGTAAACCACTGGCAACAAAAGTGAGTAGACCCCTAAGTGACAATGTCCAAATTCGGCCCAAAGTGTCAATATTTTGTGTGGCCACCATTATTTTCCAGCACTGCCATAACCATCTTGGGCATGAAGTTCACCAGAGCTTCACAGGTTGCCACTGGAGTCCTCTTCTACTCCTCCATGACGACATCACGGAGCTGGTGGATGTTAGAGACCTTGCGATCCTCCACCTTCCATTTGAGGATGCCCCACAAATGCTCACTAGGGGTTAGGTCTGGAGAGATGCTTGGTCATTCCATCATCTTTACCCTTAGCTTCTTTAGCAAGGCAGTGGTCGCCTGGAGGTGTGTTTGGGGTCGTTATCATGTTGGAATACTGCCCTGCGGCCCAGTCTCCAAAGGAAGGGGATCATGCTCTGCTTCAGTAAGTCACAGTACATGTTGGCATGGTTCCCTCAATGAACTGTAGCTCCCGAGTGCCGGCAGCACTCATGCAGCCCCAGACCATGACTGTCCCACCACCATGCTTGACTGTAGGCAAGACACACTTGTCTGTACTCCTCACCTGGTTGCCGCTACACACGCTTGACACCCTCTGAACCAAATAAGTTTATCTTGGTCTCAATGGAATGTACTGAGGGTGACCATTGTATTTAAAGGTAGAAAAAAAAAGTCTGGAACTCCGCTTTAATGATAAATGTCTGAGTTGGGCATAGGAGGAAATGTTATTTCCACTTTCTGGGAATGAGGAGATTGATATTTCTAATATAGGAACATAGAAACAAGTGGTTCATCAAGTCTGTTCCAATGCAGTAAATGGTGCAAACTAGTTGTCATAATTTAGAAATCTAGTCCCACCGAAGGCAGAGTGGCAGGCCAGAACCTAGTGCAGCAACTGGGCAGATAGTGGGAAGATAGTGATGGATACCTAGGACTCGATTACAGAGAGCCCTGAAAAGGGCCGAAGTCCAGAATCTAAGCTACCACCTAGCCTCCACCAGAGCTCCTAGTGGTGGAGATGTTGTGCTGCTGGCGATATCCAGGTTCTGGTCCTCTGGCTCAACCTAGCAGTCCGCAACAGAGAGCACCGTTGGGACACTGGACTTAAAGGATAAGTTTGCTTTTTTTTAAAAAAAAGAATAAATGCCCATTTTTTGCAGGTAAAAAAATGTGCATTTACTAATTTTTTTTTTTGGAGCTTGAAAAGCATTGCACCAGCAATCAGCATATCACTGGTGCAAAGCCTGACTCTTGCAAACTGTCAATGTGTCTGTGTGTTGGTAAATCCCATATGGGCAGGCAGATACAGTCTGACAGGAAGACTCAATGAACTACCGCAGCACTCAACGGTGCCGTGGTTGTTCATTGAGAACTACAAGCCAACATCCGCAAAGACTGTTGGGACTTGTAGTTCATTTATTCACAGAATTATGTTTTCAAAAAGTGACAGCTAGTACAGGGATCTTCTCCCTGTACTGCTGTCACAGAGAGGGGGGATTGAGCAGCAGCTTCAGTGGTGGGAACACATATTGCATGTTTCACCCTAAAAACGGGGTGGAACATGTAACATGTTCCCAAAGGGAGCACGGTACATAGGAAAAAGCCAGAGAACAATGGAATACACCAAGACAAATAGGCAACACACATTGGAAGTGTACAGGTGCAGATAACAAGGCTGGCTGGAAGTCACAGGGGAAACAGGTTGGTGCAGAGAAACAACTGAAGAGCCAAGTGAGACATGGAGGTGAAGGAAGTCAGGCTGCAGGTAGGAGTGTAGAAGCGGAAAACCCAGTTACTCCTGCGCTTGGGGATGGACTCATTGAGACCACATATGGAAATTCTTGGGATATGCACACCTTACTGTCCTCAAAGGACTGGGAAAGTCCAAGGTACTGAACAGAGAAAAACAAACAGAGGGCGCATCGGCCTAGTGCATTACCTTAAAAATGTTTAATGAATGTAAATAATAAGTATTATACTCGCAAATGATCAATAAATAAAAGGCACATCATAAAGGAACAGTTCTGTCCAATTCACACTGCGTGCCTGTCTGTAGTGAGAACTCTGGACATCCAAAAGGCTGACGCGTTTCAAGGACTAGCCTTCTCCTCAGAGCCACTGCAGGTAGGAGTGTATGTAGTGACAAAAGCAGAATACAGACAGATGGCACATGGCTGGGACACACTGTGAGCAATGGGAACACAAGAGATCACAAGAGGCTCAGGGAAACACTTGATAAGAACACAGGGGGTGAATCCAGCTGCTAGCATTTGGATGACTTGTTTAAACCCTTAGCAACCGTTGCGCTATCCTTTTAAGGCCCCATTCACACCTGTGGGTTCTAGAATCATGCATAAAATGTGAGTTGGCTTGCGATGCCCTTAAATCTTAATGGCGCCCCAAGCATGTCCAGCAGACACGAGTTTTTGTGCATGGCAAAACATGGGAAAAGGTGCAGGAGCTTCTTTGGGGTGATTCTCACACACAGGACAACCCATTCAAGTGAATGAACTGCTCAGTGAGCATCGCATGAAAAATCAAGAAACAAATACAAGCAAAAATGTGTGTTCCTACTACGCTAGGTGTGATCGCAGCCTAAGACAGCGCCCCCTCTGTGATTGGTTCAAAGCTGGTTATTGCACACAGAGGGAAAGACCTGGCTCTGGAGTATGGGACAGTTGAGTGCTACACTCGTGTCCTGAACCCAGGGACTGCTGTTCTCTTTATTACAATAATAAAATTAAATGCTATATACTCACTAAAGTAGAGCTAAGAATTCTGCTGAACTACAGATCTCAGCATTGCCAAATACTATTGCTTAACCCAAAGCCAAAGAACAAGGAAATTCTAACAATAAATCTATCAACTCTAAACAGGCATTATGGTCAGATATTGGGTAGAATCAGTGCTGAGACAATGCCATCCAGTGCCCAGGGCAAAGATGGGAAACTGCACCCCCCCATCACCGGGTGAACAAAGGGATGGGGCCCATAGCAGTGCTCTGTGCTGAAATGTATATAATGTTTGTGGCATTACTTAAATAGTATCAACCGCTGTGGTACACAGCAGTGAACAGGATCACTGTTGTCACTGGAAATCAAACCTGTCTCAATATCAGTGGTGTCACTGTATGTAAACAATTCCCCAGCATTGACCATGTCACTGGGAGGTAAAAATGTCACTGTGTCTGTGGTGTCACGGAAATAAAAAAATGTAATTGCCTTCATGGTATTACTGAAAGGAATAAAATTCCCCTGAATAGGTAGTGTCACTGAAAGGAAACATTGTCCTTCATTCAGTGGTGTCACTGGAAAGAAAAAATGTCCCTGTGCCAGTAATATCACTGTAAGGAAAAATGTCCCAGCATCAGTGGTGTCACTGTAAGGAAAAAATATCTCTGTGGTGTCACTAAAAGAAAAAATGCCCCCACATTGGTGGTGTCACTGAATTGAAAAAAAAAACATTCACAGTATCGGTGATGCGACTGGAAGGAAAAAATGTCCTTGATCCAGGGTATCACTGGAAGGAAAAGTGTCCCTGTGCTAGTGGTATCAATGTAAGAAAAAATATCCCGCATTGGTGGTG